GGGTAATTATTGCTCAGGGACACACTCAGAGTAACACAATGGGTAATTATTGCTCAGGGACACAGTGTAACACAGTGGGTAATTATTGCTCAGGGACACAGTGTAACACAATGGGTAATTATTGCTCAGGGACACACTCAGTGTAACACAATGGGTAATTATTGCTCAGGGATACACTCTGAGTAAGACAGTGGATAATCATTGCTCAGGGACACACTTGCCCACTTTACCCAAAATGCTGGAAGATTCAATACAACGATAAATTATAGGAGGTGTGGGGGAGATAAAAAATTATGTTCAGAAATAAAGGACAGTTAACTGTAAATTCAATTATGAAATAGCCGCTCAGCTTACATTAATATAACGACTTAAACATAGTGAGAATTATCCAAGGTGCTTCCCAAGAGTTTTATCCTACAGAGTCTGACACTGAGTGACAGATGACCAAAATGACTGGTTAAAGAAGTTGTTCTTTAATATTATCTTTAAGAATGAGACAGAGGGCAGTGTCTTCATGAGCGAGAATTGGGCAGGAAAGAAATAACTGACCCTTTGTCCCCTGGTACTGCTTTAATTGCTGTTTGGTTTTGAAATGTTGCTGTAAATCACCGTGCTTTAAGAAATCAGTAGTGAAAAGGGTTAACAAGAATTTAAATTATTAGTCATGCATTTTGGACTGACAGTCCTGCAGTGTAACTTTTGAGACAGTTTCATTATGAATAGTAAGAGTCAATGATATGGGAGCAAAGATACTGTGGCTTTCTGCTTGTTCACTGCTGGAATCCAGCTGGGGTCAAACCTCCCGAGGCAGATGCGTCTCACTGGGAAGAACTCCCACCCCCCCGATCTCATGGTTCCTTTGAGAAGTTTCTAACTCCTGTAAAACTGCCTCCAAGGCAACTGGACCCAACCTTGGGTCACCCCCTATCACGGCCTCCTGTAAATACTCCTTTCTTCAACTCCTGCAGGTTTTTATTTTCTTGACAGCTGAAAAGAGGTCAGAGATTTTCACAGGAGTACGAGGACACAAATCTTCATTTCGGTTCGAGAGAAGCAGTTTTCACTTGTCACGCAGGAAGGATAACAATAATTTGTTGACTGGTGGCACTCTAAATGCAAAACACTATCCTCTTTGGTGATGCCCTGCTAATTTGTTCATTGTATTGTTGGGATGTTGTTCGCGATGGAAGGGAGCACGCCAAATGGCCACGGTGGGGTTGAGGTGAAGAAGTCACAGTGAGGGGCACAGGAAGGTACAATCCCTGTGCTGTTAGCAAGGGAGTTCCAGGAATTTAACTCCTTGTTAATGAAGGAACAGCAATGCAGTTTCAAGTTGATGGTGTGTGAATCGAAAGGGGAGTATGTAGTTGGTGCTGCTTGTATGTATCTCTTGTCCTTACCCTTGTTATTCTGAGCTATAATTACTGATCATGTGATCTGTAACACTGGACGTTTCTTTCTTCATTTTTCTAATCTTTTTCCCCAAGAATTTGTTCTTAAGAATCTGTACCTAGGTACCTTTGTCCCTCAGATGGTGCTGTAATGTGGCGACTTGTAAATTTTTCACTGTGAGCATGTGAGCACATGTGACAATATCCCTAATCCTAAGTCAGTCCTGGTTTGGAAGTGTTGACTCATTTAGAAGGCTATGCCAAGGAGTCTCAGAAATTGCAAAGAACAATTGAGAAACATCTAAATCAGTTGCCGTTGTTCGACATTTGCTCAGGGTCAAAACTCACCTACGGTAGCTGCAGTAAAGCCCACCTGACTTGCATTAATATGGCGCCTTTCACAACTTTAAGATATCTGAAAGTGCTCCAAGGCTGCTGGGGAATGTTTGAAGCATAGACGCTATTGTTATGTGAAAAACATGACAGCAAATGTGCGCACAGCAAGATCCCGCAAGCAGCAATGCGATGACAACCGGATTATCCAAAATGCGTTGTATTTTCAGGGCTGTGAATAATGAGCCTCCAGAGGGGCCTGCAGTGTTTGGGTGGGCTGGGCAGGGGAGAAGCTGTTGTGTTCTGGGTTAGGGGTGGGTCCAGGGCCAGGGGGAGGGGAGGATTCCAGACCAGGAGCACCACTGGGCACTGTGATTTCTGTCTCTGCCCCTTGCAACATGAGTGTTCAAAAATCAGAGCAAGGACCACCAGATACTGACCCAGTTGGTTTTGAAGCTGTGGTTTCTGATTAGGAAGTAGGAACCAGCTTGAGGACGGCCCATTTCCAAGACCAGTGGAGCGTACAAGGTCAGAACCACACACCAGAATGTGTCAATCCTCCAGAGTCAGTGTAACTGGGCATTCAGGGTAGCGCTGGTAATAAATAGGGTTGGAGAAGACCAGATGCAGACTGTAGTTTCAAACATTACCTCAGGGAACTTCTCTGGAGAGCTCCCAACTTTTAAGACAAAAATCTTGTAAGTGTAACAAAATGTCCCCTGGTGCTTCACAGGGAAAAAAAATTATTAGGCAGAATTTGACACTGAGTTACCTAAGAAGATAACAGGAGAGCAGGTGCAGGTCAAAAGGAATGCCTTAGAGAGGTGGTGAAGAGGTTAGCGAGAGGGAATTGTAGAGCTTAGCACCCCAAGTGCTGGAAACACGGCCACCAATGATGGGGTGATTAAATTCGGTGATGTGTCAGGGGTGAGATTTGAAGAAACACAAGGATCTCAAAGGTCAGGGTGATGGGAGGGGGGAAACGACCCAAAAGGGATCGATGAAACTGCGGAGGAATTTGAAAACAAGGGCGAGGATTTTTAATTAAGACGAAGCAAAAGGCATCATCAGACATTATATTGATTGGAACAACACTGTCACATTAAGTGTCCCCTGATTGTTTTGAAGCTCCAAGCCTCACATCATTCTGACAAATATCTTGTTCCCTTTGTCCTTGGGTCAAAATCCTGGATCTCCCTCCCTAATATACCTCTCCAGGGATCCTACAATGAGTAACCTGGGGCCGTACAGGACATTGGTGAGGCCACTATTGGAACTCTGTGTGTAATTCTGGTCACCCTGCCATAGGAAGGATATTGTGAAACTTGAAAGGGTTCAGAAAAGATTTACAAGGGTATTGCCAGGGTTGGAGGGTTTGAGCTATAGGGAGAGGCTGGATAGGCTGGGGCTATTTTCCCTGTAGTGTCGGAGGCTGAGGGGTGACCTTATAGAGATTTATAAAATCACGAGGGGCATGGATAGGGTAAATGGACAAGGTCTTTTCCCCAGGGTGGGGGAGTCCAAAACTAGAGGGTATAGGTCTAAGGTAAGAGGGGAAAGATTTAAAAGGGACCTGAAGGTCAACTTTTTCAGGCAGAGGATGGTGTGTGTATGGAATGAGCTGCCAGAGGAAGTGGTGGAGGCTGGTACAATGACAACATTTAAAAGGTATTTGGATGGGTATATGAATAGGAAATGTTTAGAGGGATATGGGCCAAATGCTGGCAAATGGGACTAGATTTATCAAAGATATCTGGTCAGCATGGATGAGTTGGGCCAAAGGGTCTGTTTCCATACTGTACATCTCTATGACCCTATGACCTCCTGACTCCCCAAAGCCTGTTCCACCATCTACAAGGCACAAGTCAGGAGTGTGATGGAATACTCCCCACTTGCCTGGATGAGTGCAGCTCCAACAACACTCAAAAAGCTTGATACCATCCAGGACAAAGCAGCCGCCTGATTGGCACTACATACACAAACATTCACTCCCTCCACCACTGATGCTCAGTCACGGCAGTGTGTACTATCTACAAGATGCACTGCAGAAATTCACCAAAGATCCTCAGACAGCACCTTCCAAACCCACGCCCACTTCCATCTAGAAGAACAAGGGCAGCAGGTACATGGGAACACCACCCCCTGCAAGTTCCCCTCCAAGACACTCACCAACCTGATTTGGAAATATATCACTGTTCCTTCAGTGTTGCTGGGTCAAAATCCTGGAATTCCCATCCTAAGGACATTGTGGGTCAGCCTACAGCACATGAACTGCAGTGGTTCAAGAAGGCAACTCACCTCCACCTTCTCAAGGGGGTAACTAGGGATGGGCAAGAAATGCTGGGCCAGCAGGTGGAGCCCACATCCCACAAACGAATAAATAAATAAATAAAAACTGTGCTGTGAATGTACCCCAACAACACAAATTACAGCAATCCACCAACAGGTTGTCAAGGGCAACATGTCTGGCCCAAAGAACAATTCTCACAAATCCCTGAAAATGGGTTGTCAAGGTATGTAACTTGCAAGCTGGCCAGTTTGGGATTTTTCATGGATGTTCCCAAAGATTTGACTTTGCGAAATGTTCTGAAAACCGTACCATTCCCTCTTCAGAGCCTCCTCTCCCAGCCCTCAGGGTAACCAGAACTCGAGGACACCTCTACACATCAACCTCAGTACCCACATTCATAGAACATAGAACAGTACAGCATAGTACAGGCCCTTCAGCCCATGATGTTGTGCCGAACTTTTACCCTAAACCTAAGGTCTATCTAACCTCCACCCCTACCTTATGCTATCATCCATAGGCCTATCGAATAGCCACTTAAATGCCCCTAATGAGGCCGAATCCACTGCCCTTTCCAGCAATGCATTCCACGCCCCCTACCTCTCTCTGAGTGAAGAACCTACCTCTGATGTCTCCCCTATATCTACCTCCACTCACTTTAAAACTATGCCCACTTGTAATAGCTACCTCCACCCTAGGAAAAGGTCTCTTGACTGTCCACTCTATCTATACCTCTGATCATTTTGCACACATCTAACAAGTCACCTCTCATACTGCGTCGTTCTAAAGAGAAAAGCCCTAGCTCTCTCAACCTTTCCTTGTAAGACCTTCCCTCCATTCCAGGCAACATCCTGGTAAATCTCCTCTGTACCTTTTCCAACGCTTCCACATCTTTCCTGTAATGAGGTGACCAGAACTGGACACAATACTCCAGATGTGGCCGAACCAGGCTTTTGTATAGGGCAGCAGATACTTTTGTATATATTCACCTGGTCCTTGTCTGGTTTGTCCGAGATATCGTTCATGCTTCCTGAAGTCAGGTTCCGATGGGTTAATCCGGGGCTGCCTGGAATAGAAACCCAATGACAGGAATTAAAATGGAACTCTCACTGTTATCCAGGGCATTGCCATCCAGGACACAGACAGAAAGCATGCAGCTGAAGAATAGATTCTGAGAGAAAAATAAAAGCATGCACGCCTTGAATAACTGGCTACTCTCTTGTTTCTTTTCTTTTGATGCAAGTTGCATTGCACAGAAATCATTTTTCACAATTCTTTCCTGCTGCTGGAATTGGGTTTTCACAGAATTGCAAAATAGATAGGGCACAGACAGAGGCCATTCAGCCCATCGTGCCTGCACTGCTTCTATCCCCAAATGCCAATCCCCTGCTTTTTCCCCACATTCATGTGCACCATTTCTGTCCAAATCATCATCCAATTCCCTATTGAATGGCCCAGCTGGAAGCTTTAGTCTCCTGAGTGGAGTGGGGGACCTGTGCTATTATCTGGGCCATTCCTAACTCATGTGAGTGCAGCATTTTCATTCTGCATTGATCTCTCATCGTTTGGGACTTGAGTAGCTCAGGAACTGCTGCAAGGCTTTCAGCGGCTTGTGGATGTCTTAGGTTTTGTGATTCTTGCTGTTGAAGGAGTGGTGAGATGCCTAGGGTGAAGAAGAGACACAAGGTTTACTGTAACAGAAGTAGAGAGCTACTCTGTGGTGGAGGGTTCACTCCTCAGTGAACCTCCGGTGAAACTGCAGGGTTCTCCTATAACTTTGCAAGTCAGGAAGTGGCACCATGTCTGTTCCTAGTGGTGTCCTAGACTGAGAAAGAGTCCTGAAAAACTGGGGAGATGCCCAGAGCCTCATTGTGTAGCTGCAAGACCCACACTGAGACTGCAGATCACTCCACGTTGCTGCATGGACCTGCAAGGAGCTCGAGGCAATAGGGCAGGGTGGTGTGGATTACGGTGAGCAATACTGTCTTAGACATAGTAGTTGGCTGTGAATCCTCTTGTAAGACGTAAGAAAGCTCCTCTACTTCCTCCCTGGAGAAGTAAAGTCTCCTTGTATCTCCAAAATCTATGGTGCACTGGGCCCATGATTAAAGAAAGACTAGCATTTTGTACGCTGTCTTTCCCAACCTCAGATTGTCCCAGTGCACTTTGCAGCCTGGGAGGCTGTATCTTTCCAGTGTAGTCACCACTAACACTACTGGAAACACATCAACCAATTTGCTCACTGCAATTTCCCACAGACAGCAATGGGATAATCAGGTCATATATTTAGTGACATTAATTCACAGTGAGGACTTAAAACCCTAAATGGTTAAACTGTTATTAGGTAAGTGTTGGTCTTATCTTCAATATATTATCTTAACTTTTAAAACAGGTTCGAATAAAAATGCTGCAGAAAAGTGACTTTATTTTGGCATTATGGAAGGTTTTGCTACAATTGTTTCGGTAGATTTACTTATCGCTCCTTTTCATCTTTAGGGAGTATAATTTGATCTACAGAGCTGAATACCTGTTAACGTTTAAAAATTAACCAATGCAATTTTAATATTTAAACAAGCACTTTTTAAAACAGTAATTATATCCATAATTAGGGCATAAACATTGGCCCATTCACCACGAGGAACACCTTTGCTCCGTTTTGAAAAGTCCCTTGGGATCCACCTGAGAGGGAAAATGGGCATTAATTCAAAGAAAAATCCACAAGATGTTAGCCTCATAGAATCCCTACAGTGTGGAAGCAGGCCATTCAGCCCATCAAGTCCACGTCGACCATCCAAAGATTCTGCCAGCACCCATACTCGCCTGTGACCCAGCAAGTTGTGGCGTAGGAATGGAACCTGGGGCTACTGGTTTATAAACTGTACCCACTGCACCTCAGGCTGTTGCTGTGAGTAAGACACAGGGGGACTCAATTACTAGGGGTCACGATTTCAAGGTGAGAGGGGAAAAGTTTAAGGGAGATATGCGTGGAAAGTTCTTTACGCAGAGGGTGGTGGGTGCCTGGAACGCATTGCCAGCGGAGGTGGTAGAGGCGGGCACGATAGCATCGTTTAAGGTGTATCTAGACAGATACATGAATGGGCAGGGAGCAGAGGGATACAGATCCTTGGAAAATAGGCAACAGGTTTAGATAGAGGATCTGGATTGGCGCAGGCTTGGAGGGCCGAAGGGCCTGTTCCTGTGCTGTAATTTTCTTTGTTCTTGTTCTTGTTCTTGTTCTTGTTCTTTGACACCCACACTCACCCAGAGAGGAGATAGCACCCACCCTGGAGTACATGACAGGAAGTCAGAGCTCCGTTTTGTGTTTCCATTAACCCATCCATGCAGCAAAGGAAAGAAAAGTCTCTTTACAACTTGTGATTACCTACCTCGAACCTCCCAGAATGAATCCAACTCTTAAACCTTTAAAAATGCAAGGCAAAATAACTCTACTTCAAACTACGTCTAAACAGACTTGCACAGAGATAACAAGGTGTAGAGCTGGATGAACACAGCAGGCCAAGCAGCATCATAGGAGCAGTAAGGCTGACGTTTTGGGCCTAGACTTGCACAGAATTAGGTTGTGGATTATCTACATCGCGGTACCGATGCCATCTTATTTGCTGCAGTTTTTCCCGGTCAGCCTGTTGGACCTGGTATGGAGTTGCCTCTGGCTGTGTAAATGTACAGATACTTACTGCTAAACCTCAGACTGGAAAGAAAATGTAATGGGGTCAGCTGCTGTTTCAAACTTCTGGTTACCCTTGTTCTGGAGAGCAGAATGTTGAAATAAATAGTCAGGACAGATTTTCCCTACAATCGCTAATAACCATCCCTTTAAAGAATTACCTACGACAATAGGCCACTTGTTAACATCTGCTCTGCTTTGAGAACAAGTGTCAGGATATCATTCTTTAGATCTGAAATAAAGGCCTGGATTGCAACACCAGAGGTCCTGCGCTGTACCGGCTTAAGGCAGTGTACAGAGCCTATCTTCCAGGTCAATATTGTCGCACCAATATTGAGACAGAATGGGCTCAGCACCCAACCCTTCTCTTCCTTATCAGTCAGAATGGGACTTTAAGGGCTGTGCCTTAACTAAATTAAAGGAGCTGGATAACACACCTCATTGAGAGATTGTGGTGGAGAGAGCAGGTCCACACTGGGGAGCTTTAAGGGGTGGAAGTTAATGGGGAAATGGAGCTAACACTCCAGCAGAACCATTCTCAGGGGCTGGGGAGTGAGGGTTGTGCTGGGGAATATGGGGGGGGCGGTGAGTGTTGGAAGATTTAGGGTGGGGGTTATGGGAGGTCGGTGGCTTGAGGCTTGTGGTTACAGACTCTCGCTGTCGTTGACTCATTAAAGGCTCTGCCAGTGGTTCATAAGGCCTTCTGGGATGGGTTCATGTTCACAGTAGAAAACTCACCCAGCATCAAACTCCAAGGGTTTAAGCTGAAACCCCCCCAGCTTTGTATTTCAGTGCAATCTCAGTCTTCAGTGGATGGGGTCAAACCAGAACCTCCCCCAATCCTACAGCCGCTGAGATCCTGCTCACAAAACTCCCAACTGCTCCATAAATCAGACATACCAAAAACTACTGGATGCAGTGATAGTATCTCTCTGAGAGAGAGCTGTATTTCCCCATAACGAGTGGAAACAAGCCATTCAGCCCCTCAAGTCTAATGGTGGATGGGAGAGAATCATGGCTGTGAGAGGTGCTCTTGACTTTGAGATTTTTTTCAGTGCTTAGCTGGATTTACTCACTTCCTTGGGACAGGAATTGCTGTTTTTACCAGTTTTGCATTGCTTTTTGGAACTTTTTTTAAAATGCTTTAAAAGAGAGGAAGGAGTGAGAGTTTTGGGACAGTGACCAGGTGGCAAGGTCGGACACTGCGGAATTGCATAAGGCTCAGAGAATGGCTCTTTATGAAGCAGGTAACAGCGTAGTTTCACAGCTGTCAGACTGAGAAATTACATAAGGACTCTGGAGATTGGGTTTCACTGAAATAACAGACAAGCAGTGCAGTTTCATAGCTGATGTGAGGAGTCTAATGTTCAGATTCAGGTGTAGCTGCAAGAGGTATCAGTAATTTCAAAAGAAAAAAAATCACTGCCTGAAACTACAGGAGAAGAGGACGATCTTTGGTTTCCAAGCCTGATCAGCTAAGTGTCTGATTTTAAGACTTATAAAACTTCTAAATGTTAATCTTCTCTTTTGGAAATCTATAATAGTGAGTAAGGCTGTCAGCGAGACATCAGAGTGATGCGTTACCTCCTGGTGCCAGGGTCAAGGATGTCTCGGAGCAAGTGCAAAATATTTCAAAGGGGAGAGGGAGCAGCAGGAGATTGTTGTACATGTTGGTGCCAATGGCATAGATTGGGAAAGGGACAAGGCTCTGCAGAGAGAATAAAGGAAGTTTGGCAGGAGTTTAAAATTAGGTCCTCAAGGCTAGTAATATCTGGATTACTCCTGGGCTAGTGAGAGTAGGAATAAGAGGATAGGGCAGATGAATGTGTGGCTGAGGAGTTGCTGCAGGGTGCAAGTATTCACATTTTTGGATCATTGGGATCTCTTCAGGGATAGAAATGACGTAGATAAGAGGGAAGGGGACCAATATCGTTGCAGGGAGATTTGTTAGTGCTACTTGGGAGGCTTTAAACTAGTAAAGGGGGGTGGGGTGAGGAACCAAAACGATAGTGATATAAGAGAAAAGGCTGAGGACGGTACAGTAGACAAGGGGAGCAAGCTAATTGTCAATGTAGACAAGAGTTCAGCAGAGAAGAAGGTAAGACTGATAAATTAAACTGCATTAACTTCAATACAAGAGGCCTTTCAGGTAAGGCAGATGAACTTAGGGCATGGTTGGGAATATGGGATTGGGATATCACAGCTATTATAGAGACATGGCTAAGAGAAGGGCAGGACTAGCAACTTAATGTTCCAAGGTAGGAAAGATAGAAAGGTGGGCAAGAGAGAAAAGGGGTTGGCATTTTTGGTTAGGGATAACATTATGACTGTACTTAGGGAGGATATTCCTGGGAGGTCTTCCAATGAAGTCATATGATAGA